CCAGAATATTTCGCTGTATGAATATTTGAATATGCAATGCACCAAAATAAAGATCAGAGCCTCTACGTTTAAACAAAAAAATCCATTTTATTCTAGCTTAAAGCATTCGTTTTTTATCAACACTTGAATATAGGTAGAATAAAGGTGAGAAAATCATATTTTTATCAAAAACTACATCTGGGTAATATTCAGTACGATTATCAAAGCATAAATCCAAGGTTTTGTACTCGTTCAGAAGATGTGTAATAGCCCCCCCTAGTGTATAACAGTGAAAACATGAAAAGCCGTAAAAACTCATCTTTGGCGGGGAAGCGTTTTCTTGTAAAAGACGAGATAACTCGTCAATGGCAGGGAAAGAGGTAATGAAACCCAAGAGGATTCGGTCTCTCCATTAAAAATTCAGGTAACCAAAAGATCCATAAAGGTATTGTAAAACAAAACCATATGAATTGAGCGGTTTAATCCAAGTCTTGTGAAGAGATACGATCACTTTATGACTTTCAGTGGAGGGACAGAAACCTCTCAGGTTTTATTCAAAATATCTTCATTTGTGAGTCTAATGGGGTTGGAGAAACATGAGGGTGAGTAAACGGTGCCAAAATTTTCATTTTTGGGTGAACTATCCCTTTAAGGACACCTGATGTCCAACTTAAATCTGGGTCTTGAAGCAACACCAGTTGCATGCGACAAAATAAAAACCATTGAACTTAAAATGATACTCTCAAAAACACAAGATTACAGCTTTCAACATGGCTAGGTGATTTTTATTCTAAAACATTCATGGGTTAGAGTCCCTCACCTTTCTGCTGTGAAACGGCTAAGGAAAACACCTCTGGGAAAAGTTATAAAGCAACACAATTGCTTGACGTTTACAGTGACGTATAATTAAAAAATATAACAGTGTTCAGCCACAAACTCGCACTGTTCAGACAGCACTAATGGCCAATGATCTGCACCAGTGGTGTTGTGCGAAAACAATTACGGCAAGACTTTAACGTAGCAAGCAAGCTGCTTCATACTTTAATTACGTAGGAAATGACAAGCTTCTCATGTTCGACGCAAAGCACAGAATACATAACACTCTGAGACAGAAGCTAATGTGTTCACCGCCTGCTTGTCATGCAAGCTAATTTGGTCCTAAAAATAGGTTTTTACCTGAGAAACAGATGCAAAAAGAACAATTATTTATGTCATAAACCATTCACAGATTAGCAACTTCAATGACGCCATTCCTTTATTGACTTTAGCTGGAAAAATGACTCTTGCATTATTGACAAACTATTTTCCTGTTGACTCTGTAAAGCTGCTTTGACATGTTTTTACCTGAGAAACAGATGCAAAAAAACACAAGTTTAGGAAAACAAGGAATTTAGAGTCACTGTGGAAAGTTGAAAACCATTCAAACTGAAAAGCGCTCAAAAATCTTGACATGCAAACTTGTGTACTTGCATTTCCTCAATCTAAAAAGGGACCGTGCATCGCTAAGCAAAGCCACAGTCGCATGCTAATTGTAGAGAAGCCAGCTGGGAAACATTTGGACTGATGTGGGCAAACACGCCCCTGTTTGTGGCTTTGGATGTTTGTCACGGGCTGGCTGTGAGTAATCATATGGAGTCCAGAATTGCTGTTGGAGGGCAACAGTGATGCATCCTTGACCCAGAAGCCCCGAGACAGCCAGAAAATGAGGCTGTTGGGTTGATAAGTATAAGCTGTTAGCCTTAGTCTGCACACTTTGAGGAAAACCCACTTCAAAACCGCCTCAGTCAGCGAGACCTCTCAGAAAGGGGCAAGGGCTCTCCAGGGAAATGGCGCACTAGTGAATGAGAGATACTGACACATACAAAGACTGAAAGAGAACGAGAAGTGGCCTAGAACGGCTGGGGAGGAAAGACGGCGGAGATACAAAAACAAAATCAAGGAAATCAGTTAAAGTGTCACATATTATTTCCTTCCTCTTTCTAACGGACCATGACAGGCTTCAGTTTGACAAACTGGAATACACGAGCGGTGCAGAGACGATGAGCGTGAAAGGAAACACAATGACGCTTGAGGAGACGACACAAGCGGGGATTTGCCATCTCTTGGGCCCTTCATAGCTATGTAGCCATCAGCTGAACATTAAATGCTGTAGTTGCACAGCTTACTTAAAATTATAAACCCAAGAAAACAAACCAGCAGACAAAATTACGCTTACATAACATCATTTGGACTGAAATGTGAAGTGTAATTTACGCACCTCAAGTGGCACTAAAAACACTTAAAATTTTAAAAAAAATGTTTATGTAGAAATCATGATGATTCATCAATTTATTCACCAAACATTAAATTAAATTACACCAAATTAAAATAAAATAAAAGAATATATATATAAAATAAAAAATTTAATTTAATTTAATTAAAAATACAATTAAAAATATAATAAAAAACAAAATATAAAAAATTAAATTAAATTAAATTAAATTAAATCAAATAAATAAAAATATCTGGCTGGCTCAGAAACAAGTAAATTAAGCAATTTCTTTAGAAATATATTTTCAGAAATGGAAAAACTGAGAAAAAAATCCCCTTGAATTATCCCCTTGAAACTGTAATTGCGATTATTATTTACCATCATCTTGATTTACATTGAATGATGTTTTGAATAGCTTTATAACATTGTTTGAGGCAACTGCTTGTCATATTTTTATGTGAAAATAAACAAGCAAATAAAAAAGTAAAAAATATGCATGGTATTATAACTAAAACTAAAATTAAAACAACGGAAAAAACTCCTAATAACCTGTAGAAAGAAAAAAAAACTCACGCACACATCTTAAGCACACAAAATAATGTAAGTAGACTTTTTTTTTTTAATTGCTCCTTTGAACGATCCATCCATAACTGTAATCATGATTCAAAATTAGATTGTGCAGCCCTAGCACTAGCAATAATAATAATAATCAAAATAATTAAAAATCACATACTCCGAGAGGAAACAATATGTTTAAGGCAATTTTATATTATAAAATATATAATTTATAATTATTAGAAATAAAAAAAACTAAGTGACTACAAAAGTATTATATCAGAGTAAGTCTAAATAAAATAAAAAATAAGACCAATAAGTAAAGGTGTAAGGCAAATGAGAAGTCTGCAACATGCAAAACATATCAAATTAGCTGAATGGGGCTTTTTTCAGAATTAATTCATAAACGGCACATTTAGTTGTCTCTGCACATTAAACTGTAATGGAGAATGTTTAATCACCTACGCCACATTAAAGCTTTGCAGACAGCCGTTGAGTTACATAAACGAAAACATCATCGCAATTCTCAGACAACTGTCCATCAGCAGCTTCTATTGTATCTCCTCTTTTCATTTCACATTCACATTCACTCGGACCGACTCGAATCAGAATGAGAGAATTTGTGCTTTCATCCGTGTTTTTCCTTTTGTCTTTTCATCTTCCAAAGGCAATGGCTCTTTTCATTTCTACCCGACGCTTTCAAACGCTTCAGATAAATCAGAATTTGCTCCGTGAACAAACACTTCCAAACATCAGACGCAATGAGGGCAAAAGGGAGGTTTTAATGTTGAAAGCAAATTCGAGCTGAAACAAAGTGCAGAGCCTGTCATTAGCACTCAACAGGTTATAAATAGCTGCTCCTCACACTTCTTCACACTCATCAGCCAGTCACAGTGTGTTGTTTTTTCCCCCACAATCCCTTTCTGTGAGGCATTAGCATGTTAGGATACTTTACCTCATGCTGCGACTCGAGATTATAGATTCAGAGAGAAAAAACGGCACATGTAATCCATCTCCATAAGAGCCGTGGGGATGACAGGTGGGCCGCTTCACAGCAATAAAAGCAGGGCTCATCTGGGTGGAGTGGGGTTCCTCCCTCGGGAGTCCATTTCTACCTCATAAAGCATGGAAATTGAGGATCCCAGAGGGCACATATACCACAATCCATTTCCACACCTATTGGTAACACCGAGAACCCAATACAATCAGAATCTGGGATGATCCATTGATTGAACCCAAGTGTTTCGCCAACTCAATCAGCTAATTCAATTACCTCATGCTAAGTCATGGGCTTCAGTTCTATTTCCATTTTGTCCTATATTTACTTAATTTTTGAAACACCACAAAATATCAGGCACATATTAATCTAATAAACCATATTTTCCTACCTCAGGCATTAAATTTTTGTCCGAAATGGACACCATTTATTTTCAAGTAGTGGTCGACCGATATTGGTTTTTTGACAGCCGATGCCGATATCTTGGAAAGCAGGGTGGCCGATGGCCAATATAAAGCCGATATAATTGTATTTATTTTAATTAATATTTAAGAAATTTGAAATAATTTGAAAATGGATTAAACATAAATTTGTAAAATAAACATACTTATACTTTAGATGACAAAGTATTTTTCACAAATAAATAAATATTTAATAAAAATCTAATTAAAAAGGA